TTTATCTTACAAAATTTAATTTGCATGATAGTTAGACTAAATGCATAATTTTTTTAAAATGCCACTAATTGAATAGACATTTGGTGAAAAAAATCATATGTATTATTCAACGAGGGTTTTAAAGAATATGTCATTTAAATTAACTAATGAAATTATTTTAATTAAAACAATATGTTATAGTAGAAATCTCTATATGTTTTTATTAATTTTATAACATAAATCCATTAGTATATATTTTACAGAGTTAAGTTTAACTAAATGTAATATTTAGACTTACTACATCATCTATTTATTTTAAAAAAATTAATATATTAAAAAGCTTTTTATTATTATATTTGTAACAATATTATTTATTTGTAGATGATAACTACACTTACAAATATTTTTACATTTTATTATTAGAAAACATATATTTTTTGTTTGTTACGTCCGACAAATTTATATAAATCTAAAATTTATTTGATTTATCGTATACTCTACTATTTACACAAATAATAAAACTCAATTTGATACTTCAAATAAATTGAAATAAATAACATTTGCATTAGTTTTAATATTTGATGCAAAATTGATCAAAGCATATGACATAAAAATATGTTTGGTAAAAATTTAATTTTATTACATTTATGCACAATACATATCATTTTGAGGTTTATAAATATTAGAATACACATCTATATATTAAAATCAATTAGAAAATATATCGTATACTCTATTATTTACACAAATAATAAAACTCAATTTGACACTTCAAATAAATTGAAATAAATAACATTTGCATTAGTTTTAATATTTTATGCAAAATTGATCAAAGCATATGACATAAAATATGTTTGGTAAAAATTTAATTTTATTACAGTTATGCACAATACATATCATTTTGTACGTTTATAGATATTAGAATACACATCTAAATATTAAAATCAATTAGAAAATATATTTTAATATTTAATTCCACGCTTGACGTGGATCAAAATCTAGTCAAAGAAGAAGGAAGAAGAAGGAATTTTCTTTTTTTTCTGGGACCAAAGAAAGAATTTTCTTATATTTCATTTATTTAATTAAAATAGAAAAACTGCCTGCTGTTTTGTTTTTGGTCAAACGAAACTGTGTGTTATTTCTTAGTAGCAATGAAAAATGGTTATTGTTTTCAAGTAAAATAAAACTTTGTGTTCCATGTTCCGTTAGTTTTGTTAACGTCATTAATTTTTGCCACGTCATCGATAGACGCAAGGGTTATATAGCGGGTTGACTAGCACTTGGAGAATTGATTTGCATTTAAATGACTTGGAGGGTATATTTGCAAACTCTAGCTACTTGGTGGGTTTATTTGCAAAAAAAAAATTTTTCTCATATATTTCACTGGCTAGCTGAGGGTAAAAACTAGTTATCATTATATTTATATAAAATTTAATATGAAACAAAGGTGTGGTGGTGTCATGGTAACCTAAGGGGATTGGTTCATTTGTGTCACGGGTTTAAATTTTTTTTAAGATAGATGGTTATTTTTTAAATCGGAATATCTAAAAGCTAACTTTGGGTACCGATTATGAACCAAAAGTTGAGAATTTATTCCAAAACAAAAAAAAATTTAGCACGGTGATTTATAATCTACTTTATAGAGTTAATATATGATTATAATATTGAATTTAAAATTTGAAAAAGATCGACATTAAAAGCAAAATTTTAAAATGGACCGACCTTAAGTTTTAACATGGTTTTGGACCTTCATTACATTTGAACCAAAAATTTGAAAATGCCATTTCAAGAGAGCCGGGCACACTTGTGCTATTTGGTTGAAATTTCACATCAATAAATGTAAGACACCTAATGTTGTATACAAATGAATTAAGCTAATCACCACTCCAATTAATTTGTAATGAAACATTTATATTATATAGTTAATCGGTTTTGAAATGGTGTGTAACATAATCGGTAACGCTCTTTTAAATATTATTTCCTGCATACGCAAAGCAAAAAGTGAAAGACCTAAAATATTCAAGTGGATAGGTTGGTACATTTCGAGTCCTTTTCCCATATCGTATAAATTACTTTAAATCGTTCTTTAGTCAGGCCTCTCCTTAGTTAAATAGATAGCTAAGATACTTTCTAAAAAAAAATTATACCTAGATAGACATGTGTTTGGTCAACATCCTATCATAGTATTGTGTCACGCGCGTTTCATGAAAGCTCCATCTCTGAAGGAATTTGGGTCTTTTCTCTTTCTGCGATGAATGTAAAACTATTTATAGCTACAACATATCTATAGCTATTGATAAATAGTCACAAATTAGACATATAAAAAAAAATCTAAATTTGGTAGCTAAACGTAGTTATTTCGTGGCTATATAGCTACAATCGCTTTTGTAATATATGTAGCCCAGTTAGCGACGATTAGCGACAAACATGTTTCGTGGACCAATAGCCACGACATAGCTATAATATTATCGTGGAAATTCCAGACACAACAAATACTTGTAGCTATATGTATTCATTTGCCACGCAATTGTTTATGTCCTTAGATAATGATCTTATGTCCTTAGACAACCCAAATATTACTTCCGACGCAATGATAAGAGCAAATGGTGACCAATTTGGAAAGTGGTATCGCGATTACGTAAGTGTTAAAAAT